AATTCGAATTTATAGTTTAAATCTATATATTTGTTTAATTCAAATAATTTACAAACATTAGCCAATCAGCGTGAAAGGATTAGGGTTAGGGTTAGGGTTAGGGTTAAGTATGGGCATGCCTTTTGGCCATGAGGCATGCCCATGCCCCTGTGCCCCGAACCCTAATCATAATGTATCTCTGTTATGTTTTGCAATGGATGAAACAAGGGAGTGATAAAACCAATGGCTGTAATATTAGTTTCTAGCTGAAAGCATAAGTCATAGCCATTTTTTGCTGCTATTCAATAAGCATGCATGCAGAAGGAATATGATCTTCTTCACTTTTGTAAAATTTTTATGTATAGTATGACTACCAGTAGTAGATCTGCATTGAAGTAATTTTGGATATATCAAATTTTTTTCGAAGGTGCATCAGTAAGTTAGCTGGATCCATACTCAAGTTTTTCATAATCTCTTGTTTTATTTCCAGAGGTGTTGCAATATCAATAGGTGTTTCGTGGATTAACTTATATTGCAATACAATTTTAGCCTTTTCCGCTGGAATATCAATATGAATAGTTAATTTACTGTTACAATCAAAACGATCAGTCCTTTTACGATTCGAATGTTTGTATTCATGCTCAATTTCAATACTTTAGGAATATGCAAAATATGCATTGTCGACACCTTCATGACAGGATGAAAGTTTTGGTGCAGTCGTAGCTCTGTAATTACAAACATGTATATTACTTAGTATAAATTTTACCTCTTGTAATAATAAAACTTTTAAAATTTGAATTTCAATTAGGGACTTAGAATAATTTAAGGGATCAAAATTTAAAAAAAATTTAAGATAAGTAGAATTATAGTCATATTTAAAATTTACTTACGTCCATCTAAATCATCTGCTTCTTCAATCTCATCGACAATTAGTTTAGCCATTATTTCAACTTCTGTGTCAGTAGCTTTAAGGGTAGCTTTATTGAGTTTAATACAAAAAGTAGAAACAAGCAAAGTATCATATTCTCCCAATCTATTAATCATATCAGAAACATAGTTACTAATTTCATCAAATAAAATCATTTCTATGAAAGTTTCTTCATCATCAATATTGGTTGCTTTTTTAAAATTTTTGTTCGCTATACTGGTTTTACATTCAGCACACATTTTGTATGTTTTATTCTTATATATGAATGCTTCATGAGAAAGCACATGATAACAAGAGCTGCAGGAATTCATTAGATATAAAATGCAATGAAAAAACTTTGAACGCGATTTTTTTTAGAGCTATCTTAAATTATGATCAAGGTTTTAAAGATAAATATTTATTAAATGATTCAATGATGTTACTAATGATCTAATTATGTAGACATCCTAGAATGCATAAAAATAAAACAATATGATAACTTTTTAACTCAGATTTATTTTATGATTAATGATTTATTTAATCAATCAAATTATTAATGACCTTGAAGGTATTTTAAATGATTTATTTAATTTATATCTGATCTATTAATTCAGATTTATTCATGACTAAAATTGTAAAATTACTACGACTTTATGTAATTTTATATAATTTTATATTAAGCTTCTGTAAATCAAATTTCACACAAAAAATTTCATAGAATTTTTATCGTTAAAAGGTAATTGTGATGCTATAAAATGAGATATATATTTGATCAAATGATATAATAATGCTAACAGAGTTTTTATAATTCAGTCTTGAGATACTTATATTGTATGTCAAATTAATATCTTTGTCAAATCAAAATAACTATCCTACTAATATCTTACCCTTACCCTAACATAAGTTTTCACCTTAGCCTTAATGAAACTCTATTTAAATTTTGACCTAATACAAATTTTAATTTGACGCACAACATATACATGGGTGTCTAAATTATTTTTTTAAAAAAAAAGTAATTTCGAAAAACATTTTGATATTGCTAGTTTTTTATATAAATTCCACAAAGTAATTATACTACCTAATGCATTTTGGCTTAAGGAATTCAAATAATTTCACCAACAATTTCGGCAACTAAGAAAATTAATTTCGCTACTAAAAAAAATTAATTTCGACAGACTAAATGTCGAAATAATTTTTTATTAAGAGAAGTAATTTAGACACACATGTATATACATACATACGTATGTATATGAACTAAATGTAAACTTTCAAGACCATAGTTTAGATTATCATTTTAATAATTAATTGCGATTAATAACTGGATTAATAAACAATTATTTATGAATTATTGCATAATTAAAATGAATCACAAATTATTTAATTTTAATTTGCCTTTTGTGCTTCGAATAAAAAAAAAAGCCTCAAAATTTATCTCTTACAATTGTTTAGTGTTATAACTAAAATTTAGTTGATTTAGTTGGCAGGCAAGTAATGTGAACGAATCATCTGAGCTTGGTCAGAAATCACATGACCGAATAATCGATCCTACACCTTGTTACTGTCTGAAAAAGCTGGTGCAAGTGGCAGTGGTGCCAGAAGTAATAATACACTAAAAAAGTCTATGCAAGTAGCAGTGGTGACAGAAGTAATAATATACAGAAAAAAAGCTGATGCAAGTAGCAGTGGTGCTAGAAGTAATAATACACCGAAAAAAAGAACTGAAGAAGATGCTGTTAGTTCTAACAATAATAGCGCAATTTGTTGATTCAAGGTATTCACTAATTAACAAAATATTTTTACAAAAACAATGCATAGAATTAAATTTATATTCTTATATTAGCACATATTGTATTTTGTCAGTTCGATAGTTATATTTCTATATGTATTATTGCTTTTAGTATAATGATATAATTATATATATTAATACTATAGTAAATTAATTGCTTTAAAAATATAGCTAATTGAGTATATATAAAATAATAAATAAGTACTATATTAGTTAATAGCCATATCAGAAAACTGTGAGTGCTTAAAATAAATCAAT